CACCGGAAATGGGACGCCCACCTGTCGGAACTCGCTTTCGCTCTGAATAGTTCCCGACAGGATTCAACCGGATTTTCACCAGCTTTCCTGAATTTTGGCCGAGAACTAGATCCGCCCAAAGCGTTATACCGTGATCCCGTACCGGAAGATGCTCAACCGGAAGATACCGGACCTGCTGACGTCATCGCACGATCTGGACGTTTGAAACAACTGCAGGACGTTTTTGAACTCGTCCGTGTCAATCTTGGCAGAGCCTTCACGGCTCAGAGCCATAACTACAACCTGCGCCGCCGAGATTGGAAATGTCATGTAGGAGATCAAGTAATGAGAAAGGAGAATCCGCTCTCCTCCGCAGCTAAAGGATTTGCCGCAAAGCTAGCACCGAAATACTCCGGACCTTATACCGTAACAAAAGTCGTGTCACCCGTGGTTTACGATTTACGGGACGGTTCCGGTAAAAAGCTCCGACATATACACATTAAAGACCTTAAGCCGGCCTACGTGTAACCATTTTTCTTCTGTTCCGTTTTAGATCGTAATCGTCATGAATCCGCCGAGACATTCACCGAAGATTTACCGCCACCGAACACCGAAGATTTACCGCCACCGAACACCGAAGATTTACCGAACACCGAAGACTTACCGCCACCGAACACCGATGATTTACCGCCACCGAACACCGAAGATTTACCGTCACCGAATACCGAAGATTTACCGCTACCGAATACCGAAGATTTACCGCTACCGAATACCGAAGATGTACCGTCACCGAACACCCTGCTAAAAACCGCTCCAAGGCAAGACTCACCGTCTACCGTATCCGATATGATCCCCGCTATTGATACAGTCGAAGCTGGAACCGAATCATTGTACTCGGGAGCTGATTCCGTAGACCCACCCGTACGGCGTTCGCCAGGACCGTTCTATACCGACTTCGACCAGTTCGACCCCTTCGACGATCCTTTTGGACAGACCGTATACGGCCGCTCCCCTAGTCCGCCATCCACTACATCTAAACACCGTCGGACATCCGCATCCGTATCCGCACCGTCGTCATCCGTAACGTCCGACCACCCTTCGCAACAAATAATCGACACCCCGACTAGAAAGCCGACCGCAAACCCCCGTCACCCCAACGACGACATCTACTTACCAGTAGATCACGGTCTGTGCTGGAGGTGTGGACATCCTGGACACCGCCGGGAGTCCTGCAAAAACAAGCCAGTGGTGTTTTGTTCTCGTTGCGGCCGCGTGGGGTGGATGTCAAAAGAATGCCAGTGCTCGAAACAAAAGCCAAAGGCCTCTCAGCCGGAAGCAGCCGTCGGCGGCTTGGTAGCTGAAGCTTTCAGGCCCCGCTCCTCGGGTAATTCACGTAACAAACAATCCGCACGACTCCGTTCCGCATCCGAACACTCTGGTTCGGACACTCGCCGACACCGTGCCCTACTCGAAGGGAGTGAAGGGACTCGTCTCCCACCCAGACGGTCCAGTACCCGCAGGCATACCGACGAAGCGACAGTGGAAGAAGGGGACCGTTGTTGCAAGACCCTTCTCCGTTTCCGGCCCTGCAGGGTTTGTGGATGTCCTTATGGACAAATGAGCCACGACACGAGCCGTGCCGGCTCCGGGGTGAAACCGAATCGCTGGTGAGGTGCCAGGGGGCGCCTGAGGAGCCACCAGTTGTAACCATCCTCGACACAATGGATCGTCCACAGCTAGAAGCTTTGGAAGAAGAGTTTTTTTTAGTGAGTTTATTTTCATTTTTATTATTTTTGTTTTAGGGAATTCAATGGTATTTGAATTGTAGTCAATTAATTTAATAAAATATTTTAGGTTAAAATATTTTTTTCCGAAGAGGAGGGGGTGTGTAACGTAGGTTACTAGATTTTTACTAATTTATCCGCGTTTCCGTTAATTAAATTAATTTGCTACTGATATTTTGTGGCTACGCGTGACCTCGGTTGCAAAGCACTCTCCAGTACAAACCGACGTGCGCGACGCGCTTCAAAAACTCAATTCCCCACCGCTGATATCTGCGCTGCCGATCGACGACGACATGACGCGGTGCCTCCCGCTTATAAATATAGCAGCACGCACTGCGTTTGGTCACTTCTCTCCGAGCTCCGAAACCGACCAGACCTACCAGACCGCTCCGACCTGCCGCAGCCGACCGATAAGGTAAAACCACCGCCGCCGCCGCCAGTACCGCCGCCGTCAGCAGCGTCGCGACGCCAGATGTTAGCCGACCGTTTAATGTAAGTACGGGTGAGAATGCAGGTATTTCTTCTTTCTCTTTTCTGTACACGGGTTGATCGGAGCTGCTGGCTGGAAAACGGACAGGGCAGCTCTGCTCCTTCCGTGACAGAATAAAGGACGCTACGGGCTGGTGACAGGGTAGCGCTCTTTATTCTACACATTTCTTCTTTCTCTCTTCTGTACACGGGTTGACCGGAGCTGCTGGCTGGAATACGGACAGGGCAGCTCTGCTCCTTCCGTGACAGAATAAAGGACGCTACGGGCTGGTGACAGGGTAGCGCTCTTTATTCTACACATTTCTTCTTTCTCTCTTCTGTACACGGGTTGATCGGAGCTGCTGGCTGGAATACGGACAGGGCAGCTCTGCTCCTTCCGTGACAGAATAAAGGACGCTATGGGCTGGTGACAGGGTAGCGCTCTTTATTCTACACATTTCTTCTTTCTCTCTTCTGTACACGGGTTGACCGGAGCTGCTGGCTGGAATACGGACAGGGCAGCTCTGCTCCTTCCGTGACAGAATAAAGGACGCTACGGGCTGGTGACAGGGTGGCGCTCTTTATTCTACACAGTCCTTCTTTCTCTTTTCTGTGCACGGAGTGACCGGAACTGCGGGCTGGAACACCTAAACAGGGCAGCTCTGTTCATTCCGTGGCAGAATAACGCACGCTACGGGCTGGTATCAGGGTGGCGCGCTTTATTCTACACAGTTCTTCTTTCTCTCTTCTGTGCACGGAGTGACCGGAACTGCGGGCTGGAACACATAAACAGGGCAGCTCCGTTCGTTCCGTGACAGAGTAAATAGGGCTACGGGCTGTGATACGACCAGGGTAGTGTTCTTTACTCTTCACACCTATTCTCTCTGACCTGCATTCTATTCGGAGTAAGAAATTCGCGCACGAGGCCCAAAGGCCTAATCCTGCAAGCTGACGGTGTAGATACTGGACCGATCCTGGTTCCTGGAGCTTTCTTTTGCCGATTAACCGTTACCGTAACCGTCACCGTACCGTAATCTCGAACCGTTAAATTCACGCGACTAATCCGTCACGCACACGCACTTCGTTCGCTCCCCCTCACTCTCCGCTTAGCATTTCCTTTTATAAAACCTGTATCTTAATTAAGTTTTCTTGCATTTCCTTTTTGTATTATAAATTATTGGGTAGTCAATAAAAACTACTTTCTTGGTTGGATTGTGTGTTTCATTTTTGGGAAATGCGTAGGGACACCTGGTTTTCCGTCTCCACTGTTTAAAAGCTACCTAGAGCACGTGGGCCCTTAACCACATTAATCCTAAGGGTGGCGCCCGAGTTTTCCGAAAATTCCGAAATCAACCGCTTTCCTCCTGGAAAACCAAAGTAGCGCTATACCCAATTACAAGACAGTATAGCAGAAATTATCTTACATAAATGTGTAAATATCTACAGTAGGTAATAACATAAATCATAAAAACAGAATTTATGTTTCCTATTAAAAGTGTTCAAATTGACCCACCCTGTACATACATACTAGGGACATGCCCTGACAAGATAATTTATGCACCCCAATTTCAACATAAAAATACCTTGAAACTAGGAAAGGAATTTTCTTTACATGATGGTAAATCATAAAGCACAAGAGAATGAACCTGATAAATTTAATATACAGGGTTGTTGTTATGTATGGGAACGGCCTAATATTTCAGAAAGCAACTAAGAAATATGTACAATATTTCCTACATGGGGGTTTTTGGGAATGCCCGATTCAATGATTGTATTTGCAATGTTGCCAAGTTTACTATTTCTAAAATGCCGTATGTAACTTAGTTTTTTTAAATGAAGGTCACTCTTTATTTCTATTGGAATTAATTCAGCGTCCCAACATTACTAAAACCCCGTAATGCGAAACCTCCATTGGACTTGGTCTTTGAAATATGACAAAACAGTTTTTTGTTGAAATGTATGGAAAAAAAGTCTTTAGAAAAAAAGAAAAATGTACAATATTTCCTAGCTGGGCATACCAGCCCCCCCTATAAATCTTAAATACGCAGCACCTTCAGCATTTATCACATTTTTCTGAAGCCTGTTCTGAAATACTAAATCGTTTCCTTAAATTTCAACAAAAACTGTGTTGTCCCATTTTAAAAACCAAGTCAAATGGAGGTTCGGCATTTAGGGGTTTTAGTAATGTTGGGACGCTGAAATAATTACAATAAAAATAAGGAGGAACTTCCATTTAAAAAAATTAATTTACATATGGCATCTTAGAAATGGTGAACTTGGCAACACTGCAAATACCATCCTTGAATCGGGCATTCCCAAAAACTTGTAGGAAATATTATACTGCGTTCTGAAATATTAGGCCCTATCCATACCTAAAGACAACCCTGTATATTGGTACTTGATGTCCTCAAATAAATAGATGTATTTTCGTTTTTACATTGAGAAAAGTGTACCCTCGAGTGTACCTATAGGCTCTATTAAGCCCAACCACAGAACGGGAAAAAATTCAGAAATCACAGGGTTGTTTTTAAATTGGGATGAAAATCACTCCCAAGTGTTGTGTGAGTTTTCACAACACTCAATACTAACCTTGAGTTTTTTTCTTAGTATCAAACTTTGCTATTATTATTATTATTCCTCTGAATTCAAAATATTGTATCTATATGTAGGTCTTTAGGTATTATCCTGACTACTAAAAAAAGTACTATGAAAAATCGCACTATGAGTTTTAAAGGACAAAAACATAATTCTCGACCTTTATTATTTTAGTTCACCAACAATTCCCTAGAACAAAGTGTATAAAAAAACAGCATTATACACACGACCAACGCCAGAAGTCTGGATCCGCAAAATGAGTCAAAGATCGCACGACTTTACTGCTTCGCTTCCCTTATCAGATTTGTTTCCCGAAGAAATTCAGCAAGAATTGTTTTCTCAGGTGTAAGTTTTAAAAATTATAATAGCCCTTTTTTTATAATTACTCAATTTCATTAATACCTCTAGAGGATCTCAAGAAATAAATGATCTTCTTGTTGGGGAAATGCCTGGGAACCTGATGATGGTGGACGGTTATGGAAACGAAATCTACAATCATAACGAGTTGATTCATGTAAGTGTATTTTTACTTATAGAAATATTATTTTTCATGGTAAGTATAAGTAAGTACTTCTATTATTTATTACTACATACATGCAACTTTCAATATCAGGTTTTCTCTGAACTCGAAAAAAGTACCTATTCTATTTAAAACTACCCCTCTATTTTAGCTTCCTTTTGTAGTTGGGGCCAATAACGCATAATATTGCGTCACATTGAATTAAATTTAGAATACCCCTATGGCTATTATTATCAAAGGCAGGGAGATTAGTCACCACTCCTATGAAATGTGCACTCATATAATAACCGACCAGTTTGGACAAGTATTTTCAAAATGAGTATTTAATTTAATTCCTAGGAATAAAGTGAGTGCAGTTGTTTTTGTAATGTCATTGATAGTGCAGCTCTCATTGTTTAATATTATAAAAGTACGCGCTCGGATTTGAATTTTACCTGTGCGATATTTGCTGATACTAGTTTTCAAAGTGAGGGTGCTGATTTTGTTAAATTGTTTTTAAATTTCAGTGACTAGAGAAGAGTACCTAATATATTTGTTTATTTATTTATTTATTGCAAACACATGATGGGTTTATTTTTGAAGGTGAGTTTATTTGTTATTTGTTTCTTTATCACTAATTTTAATTTATTGATTTTTTAATTTTTGTTAAATCCTGCAAAATCAACGAGTCGCTGCGTCCACCTTTTGAAATTTTTGGTATTTGTTTTTGTCTCGGTTTTTGTTTTTGTGCATATTTTTCTCAAATCATTATGTAGAAAATTGTCTACACCAGAATAATATGGAAAGTAGAATAATTCGGCACATTTTTTCGAGCTTCTATCTGTGCGAGTGCTTCTGATTTCACATTAATTTGAAGTTATTTAAATCCGTTTTTGCAAATTCATCACACAGTGAGTTGTAATTATTTTGATTATAAATTGGAAGAAAAATCATTCAGTTAACAAATCAATTATACTAAAATTGACATAATTGTTTGATCTTGTTTCAGGACGAAAATTCGTTGAAAACCGAAGATTTGGATTCGAAAAACGATTTTATGGTCCAAATGGCGCGACAGCTACCACCTCTGCCTACTAACGAAGTGCTTTCAAACGAAGAATATGTGGGTCCACATGATTTTGAAGTTTCGGTGGTGCCAAACCACAAATCCAAGTACCCGTGGGTGGTAAGTCACTTTGTAATTGATTGCAGCGAATATTGTCAGTTTATTTGAAACAATTTATTTGAATATTTGAATTCTGCCAGTGGATCTGTGACTTTCTCAGGGCTACAAAAGAATGAACGGACAGAAATCATACATACAAATTGGTTAATGTTACAATAATAAACAATTATGGGCGATTATGAATTCCTAATGTTTATTGTAATGTGAAGTGTATATTGACTAACATTGATCACTAATTTTTAAATAAAAGTCTGGCTGAAACTCAACATCATTTCCCAAAATTGTTGAGTCAGAATCTTAAGAAATTGATGTTCAGTTTGCTTAGACTCTTGTGAGAGGGGGGCAGTACAAGCTCAAAAATATCTATTTTTTGACAAAACCTATAAATCAAAACAAATAACTTTTATTTATTGTAGTATTCTGGAATCTTAAATAAAGTATTCATGAAAATGAATCAGCAATTCCCAGTTGATTTCAAATTGAAAAATCGTCCTGACAGGAGCTTGTTCATCAGAATAACTCCTCAGTATTCTGCACACCATAACGCAAATGAAGCTGTGTGCCGGTGCATCCAGCATAATCATCACAATGATCCTACAAATATAGGTAAATGTGTTGCATCAGTTAAGAATTTGAAAATACATTGTATTTTTTTTTTAAGGTATTGATGACAACGTTAAACAACACGTCATCAGGTGTCCCTCCAACAAACAGGCCCAATATGTAGGCGACTCCAACCAAAACCAGAGACTGAGCATTGTGTTTCCGTTATCCACGCCGCAGGTCGGCATTGAGAATGTTAGGGAAACATTCCAATTTGTTTGTAAAAGTTCTTGTCCGGCACCAGGAATGCAGCGTAGAGCCACCGAAGTGATTTTCACTTTGGAAGATGAACTCGGTAGAATCCTGGGACGTAAATGTCTTCAAGTGCGCGTTTGTTCTTGCCCTAAAAGGGACAAGGATAAGGAAGAAACCGAGGCTCAAAAGGCTAATAATGGAACAGCTCCTAGAGGTAAAAAACGGAAGGTCGAACATCCCCCACCTGCGTCTTCTGCTAAAGTTTTGATGCCTCAGCCAGATGCTTCAAGGTTTTTTCAGCTCAATGTGAGTTAAGGTTTTCAATTTATTTAATGCTAATTTATGAATTTTTTAGATGCAATTATTCGGAAAAAATTGTTTGGTGGATATAATGAATTTTGCTGAAAAAACTTATTATTATGAGCTTGGTCTGCATCGTGGTATGCCAGAGGAGGCAGCTTTGAGGGACAGTTTGGCTAAAGTACAAGAAGTAAAAAGTAAGTGTATTTTTACTTAAAAAAAAAAGGCCAACTTAATTTTTAATTTTTGTTTCAGAACAATTATCACAGTAAACTGCGTCAATTTTTTTCCTCTATATTAATTTCATATTATTATATACTACTTATATATTTTTAATGTATTCTCATCATATTTTATACAATATTTCTTAAGTTTATTGTATGCCTTATTTTTCCGATTTCTTCAAATTGTGTGCCATTCCATTTTTGTTTGTTCTATTGAATTTCCATGGACACTTGAAACTCTGCTACAAGTCTATGGAAATTCAATAATATAAGTAAGTACCTGAAATTTTTCCCTTTTGTATGTGCACTTGTTTTTATACACTTTGTCCAAGTGTTTTTTCCAAATTTATGGGCATTTGTGAGCTGAAGGTGCAATTATTCTATTATTATTTGTTTCTGCATAAGTATAAAACATTTAAGTTTATTACGAAGTTCTACACAGTTATTCTCCTAGTGATTTTTATAGAGCATTATGACTTTTAGGATAAAATAATTTGTTTTTAAGTTACTGTGCTCATTTAGATTATAAGGTAAAATTATTAAGTTTATGTTTATCATAGTAGGAACTTACATATCCTGCAATATTATATTATGTATTATTAGTTTTTAAGAATCTGGAAGTTATCAAAATAGTTATTTTTGTCAGAAGTACTTAAAATTGCTGTTTAGCTACTGAATAGCAGATGAGTCCTGAAAAACTTCGTTTAGGTACGTGTGACAAACACTATTTTTTGTCATACGCTTTTTAGAGTTCTTCAGAACGGTAAAATTTGCAAAATTTCCTTAATTTTTGAAATCATAAAGGTGCATCCTGAGACAAAAAAAAAATCCTAAAAAGAAGCATTTTACGGACTTGAATGAGTCCGTGAAATAGCTGTTTTTGGGAGCGTATGACAAAAATATGATATTGTATTTGTTTCCAATGGAAACATGCTATTTTTGTACCTTTTGAATAAAATTGAATTTCGTATTTTGCTAAAGTTGTGTTATGATTAATTTTCCTAGTAATTCCAGTTGTCTCTTTTCAAGACACAGGGTTGAATAGGTATATAATAAAGATGTACTATAATAGGCTATAGATTGCCAATTAAAAATTGAAAAATACCATACTTCCAATTTCAGCAGATGGAGCTCTTCTAGCTGACAATTGCAAGAGATTTTGAGAAGTTACAAAAAAGTTCAGTTTATTGTCTGTATTTCTAGCTCGAGACATTACACTGTACTTCTTCCAATCTCCTTTCCTCTTTGCAGATGAACTGAAATTCTATTCCAGATTGAGAGATTGCAAGCTCATCCAATCAGATCTTGGTGTAGTATGCAGCTCAATATAAAGAGTGATTTCATCTGTGCTAGATCAGAAGCTTTGTGTCGACTCAGCATAAATGCCTCTTGCAGCTCATTACAGTGTTCAAAATGAAGAGGGACCTTCTGTTCTGAAAACCAAGTTGTTTCTACTCCAGAGGCAGTGGTACCATGGATTGTAGTAACAAAAAACAAATCATAGTTAGGTAAGTGCAACAAATTTCAGGTACATAGGTACCCTAGGCTTCTATTATCAAATCAAACGCAAAGTTCTATTATTTTTATTTTATTTTCTTATAAATCTCTTGAATCAGTCATACCTTAACACAAAAATAACACTCATACTAACTTGCATTCAGCATTTTTCAATTAAATAGAATTATGTATGTATGTATTAATTCAATATACTTTTATAATTACATAAAAATACAATTCAATAACAATCAATTGGAATAAGTAATTATTGTCAACGCGAAAAGTCTTTTATATTTTGATTGCATGTTGATAAGGTAAAAAAAAGGTACAAAAATCTATAAAAATAAATAATATTAACTCCTTAATTACATAATTAAAATTAGTATAATCTAATTACTTTTTACACAGTTAATCTAAAATACATATAATATTTCAATTAAAAAAATCGTTGTTGAGAAACGTCTTTACATTTTGAGAAAATTGCAGATGTAAATGTGAAATTTCCTCAGCCTATTCTAAAACTGGCCCAATAATGAAAATTCAATTATTTTCACTATTGGGCCCATCCTTCAAAACTATAATTGCGAAATGTAAAGCTTCTTTGTCGTTGCACATTTATAAGGAAATAATTTAATAACTAATAAAAAAATTTCCTTGTTAATTTAATTAACTAAGAGTGCGACTGAATAAATCTACATACAAATCTTGGTGCTTCCTTTTGAGCATTATCAATCAATTAGGCTTAGATTCATTGGCCTGCTTCACTATCACTGTCACTTTTTTCTGAAAAATAATTTTTTTGGAACTGCTGAAATTTACACTCAAAACAAAACTTTCTTACCTTTCTTCCCTGGGTATGCATGCCTCTTCAGTCTATCATACAAATCATCTTTTGTCCCATAAAGACTAGCATTACTCCTGGCCAAACTGTTCATTTTTCCACCGTTGACGCCATTATGTAAACCTTCCTTCATGTAAGTTTCATTGTAAAAATTGGGCATTTCCCATCCATCTTCTTCATCATCATAGTAATGCGCGTATGTGGAATGGTGAGATGGAGCTATTGATTCTGCATAGGGAGTTGGAGCTCCGTAATAGAAGTTCACTTGAGAACCATTGGCGTCAGTGGCTGGACTGAGGAGCTTTTTGGGTTCTTTACGACGATTTGCTCTGGATAATAACAAAATCATATAAACTCTCATGTGACATTTGAGTCACAGTTCTTACCTTGCACAAATCATCCATATAAGCAAAACAATAAAAATAATAAGTATCACAGATGCAGCAATACCGCCAGCAATGTAAGCGAACTCGGATTTTTCACTGCAATGCTTTCCAGTGAAGCTTCCGATACATCTGCATGATGGCGCACCAGTTACATCCTTAACACATGCACCCTCGTTTTCACAGTAACCATCGCATACGTCAATACATTCTTTACCAGTACCATTAAAGCCTGGTTTACATTCGCATTTAAAGTCGCTGGTTTCGGGTATGAGGAGACAGTAGGCGTTAATGTCACAGTGCATCTCTTGGCCGTTCATCTCACAAGGATTGGTACACTCAGATTTGGATTTCTGTAATAAATTAGTAATAATTTTTTTTTACATGAGCAATAATTTTAACTTACAGATGCCGTAGTTTTCGTACTAGTATTGGGCGGGCAAGGAATACATGTAGTCTGTTGAGATTCTGACTGATAAAATCCCCTCTTGCATGGAATACAACTGTTTAAAGTACCGTTCAAGTAGGTACCTGCAGAACACACTGGAAGTGAACATTCCTCAATAGTGATTGCACCAGATTTTGGTGTGGTTCTACCGAGTGGACATCCGATACAAGCAGCTTGAATACCTTGGGTTCTACAAAAAAAGTTCACACATAATAAAAAAATATATATATATTAAAATTATATGACTTACCTATAAGTTCCTCTAGGACAAGATTCGCACCGGCCATCTTGTCCAAGTTGCTGTCCATTTCCACATTCATCTCGACACTCTTTAATTGATACAGCCTCGTTAGTTCTTGTGGTCTTTCCAAGTCCGCAAATCTTGCAACCAAATGAGCCTTCTAATGGTTGATAGAACCCGTGACCGCATGATCTACATAAACCGGCATCGTGGTCGTAGAATTTACCGGATGGACAACGTTCTTTGCAGTCTGCAGCACTTCTAGCTCCCAATCCGACAGTAACTCCGGGTCTTCCAGCGATTACCGGACACTGAATGCACTGACTTTGCCCTGCTTCGCTTTGATAGGCTCCTTTTGGACATGGCGAGCATGTCTTTGTATCTTTTTGGTAATAGGTTCCAATCGCACATGGGACTGAAATAAGTAGCGGATAAATTAGGATATTACTGATGGTATTGGAAAATGCTTACCGCAATCAGGAGCTACAACTACTTGACCTACAGGACAAGCATAGTCAGATTCAAGTTCCAGTGAGGATGGATCAGGGACAGTGTTGGGTAAAATATCTCTGACATCGAATTGATCTTCTTCTAGAATGAGTTTTTCCAAAAGATCCCTGACTGATGATCTTTCGTTTGTATTTGAATGTGCCACTGGATCACTAGAAGTTATTAATATTTAGCAAGAAAACTAACTATTGAATAGTTGAGATTTGATAGGTACTTACCTGTATAACTAATGACAATTACAATAATATTAAGCTAAGCACAAAATGATAAAAGCAACAAGCAACAATAAAATGATAAAATTTTAGAAACAAGCATGCAAAAAAAATAAGCTAATGGATGCAAAGGTGCTTACTTCAATGCTGGGAAAGCGATTTCGATGTTGTAGGTATCGCTGGTTGATTGACGGCCCTGTCTGTCTTGTCTATAAGAAAGAAAGGACATGCTACTCTACACATTCAACTACTTCTACAATACACTATATCTAAAAGACACATTGGACTTAGTGATTATATTTGTTAGACAACACAATGGTTTTCACCCAAAAATGTTTTATTCAAGAGAAATGTTCTTCTATCTGAAAATTACCTTTAATCATACATTCTAAGAAAGTCTAAACTTTTTGAAAGACATATTTCTACTTTTTTTTTCAAAACTAGCTATATGGAAGGTTTTTCAATAATTGGTCAGAAATTACCTAAATGAAGTCACTTACTTGTCTACAGGAACACTAGCATCAATCACATATGTACTTTCATCTTCATCATCATTAACTTGTCTTGTTTGCCTTTTGGATCTATGATCGCATTTAACATCAATGTTGAGGTCTTTGCATTCCCGAGTACCTTCGACTGAGAAGGAACAGAAGTTCCAGTCCCTATACATATAAAGTAAAACATTAATAAGTACCACAATATGGAAATATTAAAAAAAAAATCACCTGTTAAGTGTATTAACGGCGTTTCGAACTCTTTGCCTCAATACTCCTTGTCCGGCTTCATTACAAAGTACCGAACTTGGGAAAAGCATGTTAATTCTAAATACCCTTTGAGCTGCCTTGTATGCTACAATAAACAATTTATAATTTAACCAATATCCCCACAATTAAAATTCTTACTTGAACAAGCTGGATACACGAGTGGCAAACTAGAATCAACTGTCGGTCTCCAGAAACCTTCAGCGCCGCAAGTGTAGAATTTAGGAATATCTTGGGAGAATTTCAAGCCCGAATTACATCCAATTTCGCAAACTTTAAATTGGCCTCCGGCGCCCCAGTCTTTGCACGTTTGATAGCCCCCAATGGGATCGGGAAGTTCTGGACAAAATTCGGATAGTACTGACACTTTGAAGGTGCAAGTGGCAGTATTTCCGGCTTCATCACTGGCTACATAGGCAATTTGATAAACGCCCCACAGTAAAGTTTGGCCAGGTCGGTGTCCACTCTTTTCTTGTACGCTAACAACGCCGACGTTGTCGCTAAAGTGAGGCTCGTCCCACACAACCAGAGCTGAACCGTTTTTGGTGATAATCCACAAATCTCCAGGACAATATTCGACTTTGGGTGGAATCTTGTCAACTTCTAGTTCTTGGCATTTGGCGCCTACGTAACCGGGAGGACAGTTTCTTTGGCCGCAATGGGACGGTACAACACGCTCAACACCTCCTACAGTGTCTTCATAACCAGCCCATGTCAAAATTAGCCCTCTGTATAATACAGGTTCTGTTCTGCAGTCTCTAACTTGTTTTTGAATTTCAGTAGTAACATCAAGAGCTCTGTTCCATATTTGCACTTTGGTTAGGTGTCCTTGGAATCCAGATTCTGTATAGGCTTTCGGATTGCCTGACTGAGGTCGGCCCAGGGTCACCCAAGCACTACAATGATAAGTTTTCAGCATTTTTTTAAAAGAAGAGCTAAAACTTACTATTCAGGTAACTTTCTGCCGCCACCATATCCTTCGATTTTGCTGGCAATAAGTCCTTCAGTAATCAATTTCAATTCTCCGCCGTTATCACCATCCCAAACAATAGCTATGTGATGCCATTGAGCGTCATTTACAGTGGTATAGTCTCTGTAGCTTAGGTAGACGTCTTGTAGATCTGGGAAAATGGATACCTGGACTCCATTGGAGTGAGCTTGGATTATGGGTCTTCTGTTGGTTGGCACATGCTTTGAGCTACAAATTTCACAAAATATTAACAGGCAACATAAAAAAAACTCAATTTTACCTCACACTATACAAAGTAAAGAAAATGCCATTTTCATCTTTCTGGGTAAACTGAATCCACATGGCAATTGTGAGACTAGATGGTGAGGCAGTATAGAAAGGAATTACTTGTGACGCTGAGCTTCGGCTGGCATCGCTGAAGTACAGATCATAATCCACAGTAATTGCTAAAAAAAAAAATATAATTTTGTACAACAAAACTAATAATTTATTCTTTAAATTACTTTTTCTACAATCCTCTCCAGTCAAATTGAATGGACACTGACAATAGAACTTTCCAGTCAAATCAATACAAGTAGCACTTGGTGGACACGAATTCTCTTTACAATCAATCATATCTTCTTCACAATACTTTCCGGTAAATCCTGGTGGACAAACGCACTTGAATCCAAACATATCATTGCTGCATGTAGCTCCATTTTTACAGGCGTTGGATTGGCACGCGTCGTACTCGTATTGGCAACCGATTCCTGTAAAGCCTTCGCTGCAAGAACAGTTGAGACCTGAACCAAAGTCTTTGCATTTTCCACCGTGCATGCATGGGTTACCAATGCATCTTTCTGGAGCGGTTTCACATTGTTTACCATCAGTACCGGATGGACAAACACAGAAGTAGTCTTGGAATAAGTTGATACATTTGGCATCGTTCTGGCAAGGCGTAGTTTGGCAGTTGCCAATATCGGATTCACAATTAGCTCCAGTCCAGCCGGGTTGACAAATACACTTGTAGCCACCTACTTCGTCTCTACAAGAACCTCCGTTGAGGCAAGGATCACTATTGCAATCGTCAATATTTTCTTCACACATTTTTCCACTGTAACCTTCTCTGCACATGCAATAGAATTTGTTGTCCAAATCGACGCATTTTTCTGTTCCCACAGGATTGCAAGGATCACTTAGACATTCGTCTATTTCAGCTTCGCATTGAAGACCCACATAGCCTGGTCTACATTTACAGCTAAACCCGTCAACTAGGTCGGTGCATGATGCACCGTTTTGGCAAGGTTTTGATGAGCAAAAGTCTATAGTGTGTTGACAACGTTTACCAGTAAATCCTGCTTCACATGTACAAACATAATCGTCAACCAAATCCGTACAATGACCACCATTCTCGCAAGGATTAGCTTGGCAATCGTTAATATTCACTTCACAATTCTCTCCGGTCCAACCAGGCTGACACACGCATTCGTGGTAGAACAGTTTATCCACACAAACACCATTTTTACATGGATTTCTGCTGCACAAATCGATTTTTTCTTGACATCTTTTACCAGTAAATCCTGACGGACATGAGCAACTGAAATCATCAACAAGATCGGTACAGTTAGCGTTCAATAAGCAAGGTTTTTCGGCGCAATCGTCCACGTTCATTTCACAAGTCTGGCCTTCCCATCCTGGCAAACATTCGCACATAAATCTGCCTTGTTCTAGGGCAATGCAAGTTGCACCATTGTTACATGGATTACCGTTGGCTATGCACGGATCAATCTGGAATTAGTTTGATTATTAGTTTTATTAATAGGAAATATGACTGCTAATATTACAGTGACATCACAATCAACTCCTGTATATCCAGATCTACATAGGCAAGTGTGGTTTTTGTAGCCTGGCTCATCTTTGCACATAGCTCTAGCAGGACAAGTATTGTTAGAGCAATCTGATCTTTCTTCTTGGCAATTTATTCCTGAATAACCTGGCGGGCATTGGCATCTAGAAGAAAATATATTAGTGTTATCCTGGAGGAAAATATCTCCACTAATTATTACCTGTATCCTTGGGGTAAATCTATACAAGTAGCACCATTATAACATGGTTGAGAAGCACATTCATCAATATCAATTTCACAACGTCTTCCTGAAAATCCTGCCGGACAGAAGCACTGAATACCATGTCCCATCGGGATACACAAACCTCCATGCTGACAAGCGTTTTCAGTGCATTGTATCTAAAAAAAATTTAAATTAAAAATTTGTAATCAAGTATTATATTACCAAATTTTTACCTGATGGCATTCATCCCTACCCATCGCTCCAGGTCCTTCAGTTTTCATATTGCTCGGACATTCGTTGCAGCTTGTTTGTCCAGGAACCGATTGGTAGAAATCTTTGGGACACAACGAACAAGGTGCTAAGCCTGTTGGAGAATATTGTCCAGGGCTGCACTTGGGTTTGCACAAATCTTTCCTAGCTGCCGAAGGCTGATAGGTGTAAGTGTTGGCAGGACAAGCTTGGCAATCTTTGAAACCTCCAGTTGGCGGTTCGCTGGAGAAGCTGTTTCTCGGACACTCGAGACATGGTACCATGCCTGTTGGCGAGTAGGTACCGTAACCGCAAACTGGGACGCAATCGTGGACGCTCTTGGAACCTTGTTCTTTTGTGTAGGTACCTTGAGGGCATCTCAGGCAGGAACCTTGTCTGTCTCTGTTCTGATAGAAACCTCTTGCGCAGTACGTACATTGTTTTTGTTTTAAGCCAGCAAATGTACCAGCAGGACAATGTACTAGAGAGAAAAATTAATTTGAAATTGGCAAACTTATTGTATAAGAAAACTTACAGCATCTAGGTACATCATTAGTATCCATGTTCAAAACTTCTCCAATATTGCAAGTGAAGCCTCTATTGCTCTCCGATTTCAAGGCTCTCAAAGGTGGACATTGATTTCCAATTGCTGATACATTGAGCAGGGTTTCAATAACTGCATTAGCTGTTGGTACCGAGAGATCGAACATGAGGTTCAACGTGCTACCGCAAAGGTCGTAAAGCTGAGGTTGACGGAGTAGTGGTACAATATCGATAACGTAATCGACCTAAAACAGACAAAATATTGTTTATAATATAAAACTATTGATATTTAAAAACTTACTTTGACTACATTTTCTTCAACCAAACTCGCAACGGCATTGATAATGGAAACGTTCATCTTGACATTAACTGCAGAACATCGTTCAGATAAAACATTGTTTAAATTGTTGTAATATTGGGACAAAAGGTCGGTATATTGTTTCAAACAAGAAGTAGCAACAGCTCCATTGGCTCTATAGTTCATCATTGCAGTGAAATGGTAATCTGCTTGCTGAGTATCTATAGGAAGACATAAATTATTTATAAAAACAAATAATATCGAAGACTATAATACTCACTTTCCGATACACAATCAGGTACCACACTAGTAGGAGTCCAAGGATTATTTTTACTGCATGAAAAAGTCTTCACAGGTTCTCCATCAGTAAACCTGAAACCAGGATTACATGTAGCTATACATTGCAAACCTCTATCTCCTGGTAAGCAATTAATAGCTCCATTAACAGGCGGTTTAAGCTCCCAGTCCACACAACGAGTTGCTTGGACAGATACTTGATAATGACAAGAGGCTTTGTTTCCATATTTATCTGCAGCTACAACAGTGACGTTTTCAAAACCTCCGATAGCTATGGTGGCTTTATCTGGTATAAATGTTAAGTGGACTTCTCCTGAGGCATCTGTGGCATTAATTCTAACTCTGGTTTCATTAAAGTTAACTGCGTAACTATCTTGACGATCAACCAATTCTATAACATAACTTGGTGGACAGCTTAGTTGTGGTGGGGTATTATCTGGCACTGTGATGTTAATTTCGCAAATAGCCACATTGCCATCATAATCGAAGGCTACATATTTTACAACCATATCTTCAAAGACATACATCGGGGTTTTGAAGCTAGCTGGTTTTACTTCAAGTCTCGCGATGCTGCCCGAATTATCTACAGCAGTTGGTTCGGTGAAATTGACTGGTAGAATACCACCATTGGAATCTTTTTGAACCACTATTGGTTGTTGAGGACAATTCTGGAAAACTGGCGTTTCATTATCGACACAAGGCGAGTAGCCATAATCGTAACCCAACAATGGTTCTTTTTCTGGCTCATCACAGCCCATAAGTTCAAATTTCAAGCAAGCATTGTCCATGTAGCTTACAATGCCCAAAATAACGAATCTAGCTTGGACGTATTTTGGCAATGAGATCATGGCTAGTTCACCATAATTACCCGGATCTCGCATGGTTAAATTAAAGTTGGGGAAGTAGACTACATAGTTTTCGTTGTCAGACTAAAATAGGCAATTAAGAAAAAAAACCTTAGTCATATTTTTAGAAACTCACCTGTTTGTAGAAGAATCTAATTTCCGTCGGCCTCCCAACAATATCATTAGTAACAACTCCTTTAACCAAAATAGCTTTGACTCTAAACACTTTTCCCAAATCAACACTAACATAAGTAAAAGCTTCTTGTTTTCCACACCATCCAGTTACAGAATTCAACCTAATATTCTTAGCTTCGTAGTTTGGTCGTTCACTAGTAGCATTTATGGCAGAGTCTGGAATTCTTCCTGAAGCTAAGCCTAGAGGCTTAACAACTTTACATTCTGGATCACGTACGCAAGTGATTGGTCGTGGGTTAATGAGAATATAACCTGCTCTATTACAACCGAAGCCTACTTCAGAGCCTTGCTCGTAGCTTCTGGATACTTGGAAACCATCTGATGGCCGTCCAGGGTCTTCGCAAACTGGACCTTCACACCGAAGATCACCAAAGTCCCAGACACCATTTGCTTGACACCTAAAGAAATAGATTTTTATACTGTCTCAAACATATTATTTTTTGAAATTATTACCTAACAACGTTGTCATGCTTACTACTTTGTCCAGCGAGCTTAAAAGTATTCTGACAACCAAAGAAAAATGATGATTGATATTTAGTGTCCAAGTATTGACCGTATTCTGCACCAGGAGTTGGTGGTGGTAATCCACAATCTACTCTGGGACAGGAAGGCATGGCACCGCTAAGCCAATAATCAGGGAAACCAGGTTTTGGATCGTAAACGCACTGTCTGAAGCCCGAGCTAGAAGTTCTTCTGAGTTGTCTGCCAGTGCTGCCACAATTTAAAGTTACATTTTCCCGGAATGGTACCAGGACACTGTCTTCATCGCTTCTTTTGACTTTTAGACCTTCGTTTTTGTCATCAGGAAGAGAAACACATTGAGCATCTAAAAAAAATAAATAGGTTATATAGAAACGATTAGTTTAGTTTTTTTGAAGATTTGCTTACATTTACATTCTGGAACAGTACCATTCCAAATACCAGTTGAAGTACACAGTAGAGAGCTGCTTCCTGACATTACATAACCAAAATCGCATTGGAATCTTACCAAATCTCCAAAATGATATTTTTCTTTTGTTGATAATATTACTCCGTTTTCAGGAGCATTAAGGGAAGGGCACATTACAGGAACACAAGATTTGTTTACTTGATAAATATCACCATCTCTAACTCCATTCTCTGATGATTCTATGTAATAAGAGGCAGTACCATTTTGTTGATAAAGCTCAAAACCTATGTTACAAGAGCAAGAGAAATCCCCAGCGCTGTTAACACATTTCTGCTGACAGCCTCCATTATTTTGAGCACACTCATTAACATCTTGACACTCTAATCTTGTACAACCCATCACTTCCAATTTAAGACAAGGAGCGCCCACATAATCTTGAATTTTAAATTTAACATATTGCGCTTCAATTGGTACAGGCAAATTAAGGATGCTCAATGTGGGTTTTTCGATAGTAAATTCGACGGCAAGTCCATCAGGGTTCCTGTAGTCTTTGAAGACATCTGTAAGATCATCGGTGTATTGAATTCTTACGGCAGAAGTGAAAGCGATATCTCCGTTAAGTCTGGTAACTGCCATAGTTCTGAAACCACGAATAATGGTTGGAGCTCGTAGGTCTAAAAGGATCCAATTGGAACCACCATCGATCGCGTTACCGCACCAACCTGCTGCATTATTAAGTCGTACCATCTAAAATTAGTTAATTTAGCATGGATTATATTTGGTAATATATAAGTACCGTTTTGTCATATCCAGCCTCACTGCCTGATACACTTATTGATTCATCGGGAATTCCACCGTTAATAAGTCCCAAATCTGCTACTGGCCTACATTCATTTGTTGGCGCAAATCCTAGAAAAATAAAGTTTAATAATTATATAAACAGTTGTAATTTATTCTTGCCTTTTCTGCATTTGCACTGGAACGATCCAGGGCTATTAAGGCATTCAGTGGATGCAACATCGCATTGACTGCTAATACATTCATTGATGTCCTCACATTTAGGTGGATTATTAAATTCCTGATTGTCTCCACATTTCAAAATGCTATTTCCAATTAACCTAAATCCTTTAAAGCATTGTACACGTGCTTCATCTGTATAGTAATAGGCTCGAGATGGATCAGTAATGATACCATTGGTAATTTCTGGTAGAACTGGACATCTAGCTCTAGAACATACTGGAACGTCTCCACTCCAAGTACCATTACTCATGCACAGTATAACTGGTGGTCCGCTTCTAATATAACCAGGTTCACATTCGTAGCGGATGATGGTACCATAAGAACGACCAAGGCCGTTTAGAATGGTCATGTTGGCGTGTGGTACTTCTGGTAGAGCTGCGCATTGAGACGCTAGACAAGTTGGTTTTTTCTCCCATTTTCCATCAGCAAGGCAAGAAATTCTTTCGATAGGTTGACTTGAAGGAAAAGCAAATCCAGCGTAGCACTGGTACATAGCTTGACCTTTGTACGTAACATTTGTGGACCCAATTGAAAATCCGTTATCGATTTGAGGCACTGGTCCGCAATATACTTCTTGACATTTCGGAATGTAACTGATAGACCAGTTTCCTCCAGGTAAACATTGCGTGGTCAATCGACTCCTTCCTGTAGCGAATTCTTGACCTGCCGGACAACTGAAGGTAATAATAGTTCCGAAAGCGGTGTCTCTGCTTGAAGCCATAGCTCCAACTCCTGGCTGAAGTTGTGGACAATCTGCGGAAAATGTTGCTTCCCATCCAGCTTTACTGTGTAAAGCGTCACTGCTAAATCTAACCAGCATTTCGCCACTGGAAGCTGTAAGAGTAATTTTTGGTCTTGCAGATTCAGTGAAACCATTTCCAGGATGCAACCTAAGCCCACTAGTGGTTGAACCGTCAAATATTTGCACAAAATCTGACTTGTCCACATCAAAATCGTTGAAATTTAATGATAAAGGCCCTCCAACAGGGTTTCTGATTTTATATAGGCATTCTTGGTTGCTTGGATAATTTTCCAATCCAAAAGCTGGAGAGGTTATCGTGCCATTTCTTGCAATTATTGTTGCTTTACAACCTTGAGTATACCTTATCCTGAAGCCTCTTTTAGAATCTCCCAAGCTGGTCTTGAAGTAAACGTAAAGCTGACTGTGGGTTGACATCACTATTCTTTGGTTGTTTTCCAAGCTGCCAGTTAATCTGGCAATGGGTGTGCTTTTTGGCGAATCTCCATCTCTTACAAAAATGTAATCTCTGCTTTCATCAAGATCTAAATCGTCAATTTCCAAAGTAATAATGCGACCATTTTGAGCGTGGATTATGTAAAGGCATTCTAATCCTCCTGGGTATTGTTCAGGGTAGCCAGGAGATTTGAGGATTTGACCTTGTGGCGTAGCTCGTAGAGTTCCTCCACAAATTTGAGGTTCAGTCTTCCAGGAGGCTCTAAAACCTTTCTTTTCCACAGAAGCGTCGGTACTGAATTTGACAATCATAAAATTAGAGGCCGATACAAAAGATCTGTTGGTTAAATCTTGTTTTCCAGATAGGGTTGCTAAGTTTACTGAGGTATCTTCTGTCCTGCCTCCAACTAAAATTTGTACCGTATCAAAAGTTTTTTCAGTCTCAAACTCTTGGAATTGCAAAAGAATGTTGTGTCCTTGAGGTCCTTCCAAAGTCCATTTGCAGTTGGTCAGTGGGGCATATTTATGTGGATAGTAAGGACTTTCGACAACATCTCCACTGCTTGCTAAGTAGAAATTGCAATTTTGCGCACAATCAATTTCGTCACTATTATCACCGCAATCGTCTTGTTTATCACATTTGAACTTTTCGTTGATACAGTTGCCATTCGAACAATGAAAAGAACCACTTGGACAAGCCTTAGCTCGGCACATAAACGGAAGCAAGCTTTCGCACGTTGTCAGTTCCCAACTTTGGCTGTCTTCGGTTATTACAACGTCAACGCATTCACCAGCAGACGGATCTGGTTGTTTCAAGGACCAAAATCCTGAATATTGTGATACGAGTGTGCCAGCAGCCGATTCTAACGTGTTTGTTCTGAGATCGTCTAATGAGGCTAGACCCAACCAATAATGATCTAATCCTCTTCTTTCTACAGATCCTGAATAGTTTGCTATATTGGCTGTTAAGTTATTTTCTGCGTAAGATTCGACTGCCATGAGATCACTACCATATCTGGAATTTTAGAAATTAGGATTATTTTTGCAGTTGTGCAGGCGCGTGTATTTATTGTCGATTAAATCTAATCAAGATTTGATTGTTACATTTTATTATAAAAATAATCTAAACTATTAGTGCGGATAACTTAACGCTATCTGATCATAACACAGGCGCAACTTGCTCAACGTGCAGAATTCTTTCAACATTCGGGTCAATATTAAATTGCGGTTGCCTTACATTCTGACTAATTAGTTTGGAAAATTTTATGTGGTTTGAAAATGTATTAAATCATCAAAAAGAGGGGGCTAGTTTGGTTAGGCCAGGATTTGGACGATTTCATGAAGCTATCATGTGACGATCAATAACAAAAGATGTACACGTCCAATATGAGAGTGACGTAGTCGATGTGAAAAGTAGGTCTTCTTTAATCGATGTACAGGTGCAAGTATGTATTGCTTTAGTAGGAGTTTTATCATGGTGAATTCGCTATTTCGAACGTAATCTTGATACGAAATTAAAAATACTACCAAATTTTTGAAAATCGTTATGGAAAGGCTGAATGTGAGATCTAGATTTCCTAATAAATCTGGCAATTTTTCTCTTGTCTCAAATTGAATAAATCAAAATTATTGAGGCCAGAAATGTAAATACATGAAGGTTACAAAAATCTTACAGGACAGGAGAGTCTTAATTTATTGAATTATTGCATGAATATTTTCAATTTTCTGCTTTTACATGAAATTGTTTTTTTTTTTTTTTTTACGGATATGCGCACTCGCAAGGAAATGTCCTATCACGCTCGAGAAGCGGCAAGTGCGCGGAAATGTTGATTTATTTATAATCAAATATGCGAAATTTCCTCATTGACCATTATAGAATTTTTTCTTCGAGCTCCATGCACCAGCAACTCATCTCTCGTTTCTTTTCTCGCGTTTGCCGGATCCGGAAAATTTACTCTCTATTTGTTTCACATACTTGGTCAAACATTTTTATGGCCTTTCGTTTCTCATTAGAAACCCACAATGGAAAATTGTAACTCGAATACATATTGGATTATAATTGCGCATAATAATTTATTATAGAGAGTAAGAAGGTGATATGGATAATTTCAATGTATAATATGTATTATGTAAATAGGGTTTCATTTACATATAATTTCTTCTTAAAATTAAAAACGTAGGTACTTATAGGAAATTCTTAGTTCTAAAACCTATACAATCCTCCTTAAAGTATCTCACGAATTTTGATATTATCATATTGTCATATTCAATGTAAGAAGGTGAGGTATGATCAGGGCGCTCCTATTCTTTGTTCTTTATGGCTGAAGAAAAATTCAATGACAATCAATCATGGTTTTGAACTTTCATGGGAGAGTGTGGGGTTTTGAATAACAAATTTTAAAAAAAAGTAAATAAAACCATATATTGGGTTTTAAGAATGATTAGAAAGTTGGAAACCTATAAAAAAATCACACTTTTGTTTTTGTCCCAAGAACTTTAACCTCAAACAGTATATCATTAGTTCTAATAAATAAATATTCAAACAAAATCAATAGGCTTTTGTACAGGGTGTTTTTTTATGTTTTTTATGTATTGACATCCCACCTACAGCCTTTACCTTCATAGGTAGGTGAAAGGTGCATAGGCGCCGGAATTTCAAAATTACTATGGGGGCTCGAGTTCCAAAAATTACCTACCAGAAGTAGAATTAATTATACAGACAGGACTAGACTACTACACACATAGGCTTAAATGGGACCAGTTGACAGATAACAATTTCACTGCAGGATTGCCACGCTGGATCATTGATCATCCCTGCATATTTTTGAAATCCGTGGATTTCCGGCAGCCCGGCTATACCTATCCGAATATTCGACTCCGGCAGAACCATTGGAGTAGCCAGGATTTTGTCTTGAGGAGAGGGAGCAAATTCCTACGGAAAAATCCTTGAAGCTGCGCCGAAGGCGCGAAATTTTGATCTTTTTACGGTATTTTTGGGACACCTGATGGTGGAAACAAGCAGGGATGCGGCCATTTTCACAAATTTTCATAAGAATTTATAGTAAGTAGAACGTTACTTTTATTACAGAGCTGAGCTAAGTACTCAGCAAATGTACTTGAAGTATTAAGTATTGAGTATTAAATATTTTAAATATACTTTAAGTATTAAGTACAATAAATATTGTACTTAAAGTATTAAGTATTTTACTTAAAGTGAAAAAAAAAAACAGTATAGGTATCAGTACTCATTAGTTTCAGTATAGGTACGGTATTTAGAGTACGTTTTATATGCATTTAAGTACTTAGAGTATTTATATGTACTTTCTTAACACTTTCACGACCGCTATTATGAAATTTGACGATGCTCGAAACCAATTGCGTTTTTTTGGGTAGCATAATTTTTGACAGAAATTATATATTTTTTACAGGTTATATGTGTTTTGTTATATATTTTTTGTATTAACATTTGATGTCACATATATGTGACATCGGTTTCCGATAAGTTTTCCATTAAAATTTACCACCTGTCACAATGGCAAACAGTGCGACACACATGTGTGTCATAAACTTAGCTGTTCTAGACTCTCGGCTAAGCGATAATTATTGTTCAATATCCAGTGAGTGTTACCTTGTAACGTCAAACTCCAGTAGGAGAGTCTAGAAACAACAGAAATCCGCACTAGTTGGGAGACGATATGATCCACAGCTGGCTTATCCAATCCTGAAACCATGCGACACAAATGTGTGCCAAACAGTACTAGAAACTGATGCCAAAACACATATGTCGCCGTTGAACCGCCCGGGAGTTATTTGCATTCAATCATTGTAGGGTCATTGTCACTTTTGTGTGACATCAGTTCCTGGCAAAAACTGCTTGTCACATATGTGTGACGCGTGGTCGTGAAAGTGTTAACTACTTATAAATCTCTCCTAATCAATAAAATGAAATAATAATGCTATTTTTTGTTTTACTACTTTTTTTTTTCTAGTGAACACTATTGTTTACTTATAATAATTAAATAATTAGTTCTGCTCAAGGGATGCAACTACACTCGTTTTTCTGTGTCACGCACATCACTTCCTAGAAAATAATTAAACTAAATATACCAAATAAGTACTTAGAGTACATATTTTAAGTATATTCAAATTTTAAGTAGGTACATTTTTAAGTAGTAAGTATTACTTAAAATAAATTGCCAAATTTAAGTACCAGTACAAGTACTTTTTTCAAATTTTATTGATTATATTTTCTTAAGTACTCTCCTTGAAAAAGTACTTAGGTAAAATACTTAAAGTATTAAATGTACTGAATATTTTACTTCAAGTATATTTTTCTAATCAGTACCTCAGCTCTGTTTTATTATAATATCATATTATATCAAGGCAAAAACATATATTTTGGAAAAAAAATCGAAAAAACGGGAGGAAAAAATAAACTGAACTTATTTAGGAGATATTTGGGATCCCCTATAAATCGTCATGACAAAAAAAAATCAAAACAGCCTTTATTTTTATTTTTTCAAATTTCAAAGCATCCTAGCTGGAAAGCAGAGAGCCTGAGAGAAAAACCTCAAATACAAAACCTGTAGATCTCATTGAGAACTACAAAAAATCTCATTAGAGTTACCCTTCCACGGGGCACTGTTTTTGAGAAAATCAACTCCAAAACTTTCAATACATTTTCAGAGAAATTTCAACTTTGACGGCTTTTGACAAAAACAGCCTGAAATACCAATAATGTAGGTAATTTACTGCTCTTTCGAAGGAAACCTGATTCGATGCAATCGGTTCGAATTTACCGAAGTTATAAGCGAAACAGTGGCGCCGAGTCTGGTCTCCAAAATGTTCCAGGATCAAAATCTTTTTTATTTTTTTACGGGCTTACGAAGCGTCGGAGCGAAAAACACCAGGAAATATTTTCGACGTATTTTTGGCTCCTCTATCCGGTGGTATTTTTTCTTTCTGAAAATTTCGAAAATTAAATGCAGGGCGTGTATGTACCATTACACGCCCTTCTCCGAAATTGGGGGGATAGGGGCTGAAACCCCTTCGGTAGGTCGGAGAGGGCTGAAACTTGGAATATCAACTTTCCTGGACCCCTTTCACCTATATTCTAAATTTTATCCGAATCAGCAAAAAAAAATTAGGAGCCCCCTAGGGGGCTTTGCTTTGCAGATAGGGGCTTCCCGTATTTTTTTTTTTCGATAAAACTCGTATCCGACTAGATTCGTACCAAATTTCAGCTCGATAGAATCATCGATTCGCCCTTAGCGGATTTTTGTACATAAAGTACTCAAATTTAATATAAAAATTAATGGTTAGGAACTCAATATTTTTCTACTTTCCCACTACATGTAATACCTAAATCACCATGGGGGCTCCGCCCCCATAGAAAGTTCACTATGGGGGCTCAAGCCCCCATTGCCCCCATGGTTCCGGCGCCTATGGAAAGGTGTAAATACAAGAGTTGTACAGTATTGGCTAAATTTTTAAAATCCATGGTCAAAAACAAAAATTGAATGTCAGAAATGTGAAATATTGCATGATGCCTTCAGATTTTTTCAAATGGAATGCGCTATATTTGGTTCTATATTCTTGGAGAACATATTTTCCCGATTCCAAAACTATATATTAGTTTGTCTATATTTGGTTGAGCCGTCTCCAACATATTTGGTTCTAAAATTTTTTAAAATACTATCAGAGAAACCAAGTACCTCAAATTTTACCTGCAGCTTTCATCTGTACAGGTAGAATGGTTCACAAAATCAGTATAGTAGGATAGTATTTTTACAATTTTTGGAATCAAATATATGAGAGATTGCTCAATCAAATATAGATCCAGGCATTGTGCTTTTCAAGAATATAGAATGAAATATAGGGCATCCCATTTGAAAAAAGCTGGAAACATGCAAGATTTCACCTCACATTCAAATTTTGTTTCTGATCATGGTTTCTGAAAATTCAGCCAAAACTGTACAACTTTTGTATTTACACCTTTTTTCTACCTGTGAAGGTAAGGGCTATAGGTGGGGTGTCAATATATAAAAAAACACCCTGTACAAATAAGTGGATTATTGCGGAACTTATGGGTGAACCTCTGAATCAATCCGAGTTCCGCAGCCATCTACTACCAATATACTGTTGAACTGTTCAAGTAAGACATTCACCTGGAATGTGTAATTTTTAAACTAATGAGAATAACGTAATAGATGCCTGCGGAACTCCCATACACCCATAAGTTCCGCAACAATTCTCTCGTTTGTACTTAAATAACTTGTCGCATTATAGTACTAGTTTGGTAAACTAACATTACTAATTCCTGTTCCTGTTGCAAATTGACAAAAAGTGGATAATCTTACAAATTCTGACTTTATATAATAAGTTATTGTTCAAATACAAATAAGTGGATTGTTGCGGAAGTTATGGGTAGACGTGAGCGAGCTCAGCGAGTTCCGCAGCCATCTACTTTCCAATATACTGTTGAACTATTCAAATAAGATAATCACCTGAAACGTGTACTTTTTAAACTAATGAGAATAACTTACATTTGAGTGAGTCAAGTTAGTATCGTACTTGAACAAAATATTGGTGAATAGATGGCTGGGTCCACCCATAAGTTCCGCAACAATCTACTCGTTTGTACTTAAGTAACTTGTTACAACATATTACTAGTTTGTTAAAGTAACATTACTAATTCCTGTCGAAAGACGAATTGACAAAAAGTGGATAATTTCACGAATTCTGAGTTTATATAATAAGTTATTGTTCAAGTACAAATAAGTGAATTATTGCGGAACTTATCGGTGGACCTCTGCGGGACGAGCGCAGCGAGTTTCGCAGCCATCTAATCACCAATATACTGTTGAACTGTTCAAGTAAGACTATCACCTGAAACGTGTAATTTTTAAACTAATGAGAATAATGCACATTTGAGTGAGTCAGTTTAGTATCGTAATTGAACAACATATTGATGGATAGATGGCTGCGGAACTCGCTGCGCTCGTCCCGCAGAGGTCCACCTATAAATTCTACTTGAATAACTTGTCATATTATGATACTAGTTTGGTAAAGTAACATTACTAATTCCTGTTGAAAGGTAAATTGACACAAAGTGGATAATCTTACAAATTCTGACTTTATATAATAAGTTATTGTTCAAGTAGTGAATGTTAGAAATGTGAAATGTTGCATGCTTTCAGCTTTTTTTAAATGGGATGTCCTATATTTGGTTCAATATTCTTGAAGAGAACAATTTCCCAATTCCAAAACTTTATAGTTTGTTTATATTTGGTTGAGCCGTTTCCAACATATTTGGTTCTAAAAATTTTACAAATTCTATCAGAGAAACCACCTGCAGCTTTCACCTGTATAGGTAGAATGGTTCACAAAACCAGTAGTAAGATAGTATTTTGCCAATTTTTGAAGCCGAATATATGAGAGACTGTTCAATCAAATATAGACAAATTATATATTTTTGGAATCGAGGCATTGTGCTCTTCAAGAATATAGAATGAAATATAGCGCATCCTATTTGAAAAAAGCTGGAAGCATGCAAAATTTCACATTTCTAACATTCAAATTTTGTTTCTGACCATGGTTTCTTAAAATTCAGCCAAAACTGTACAACTTTTGTATTTACACCTTTCTTTTACCTGTAAACGTAAAGGCTCTAGGTGGGGGTGTCAATATATAAAAAAAAACACCCTGTACCTACTACCTATTTAAAATCACCTTATTCTCCTAAATAGTTCCCCCATTCCCATATTTTTATGGGCCATTCCTTCGAAAAATCGTATCTTGCACAATGCGCTGCTAAAACTAACCCAAACTAACTCAATTTGGCTTACTTTAACTTAAACTGCCCCCACCCCCTTTCAAAAGGCCTGTATCCGCCCCTGTTGGAGAATTATATTTAAAATTAATTTTAGAACCAAGAACATTATTGTCTTTTGTCTTAGGGAAATCTGTATCAACTGAAATACATAATTAGAAACTACCGAATCTTGCACAAACCCATTCAAACAAAAAAGTGCATCACATTTCAGCAACCCATGTGAAAAAAATTTACTGTTCATGGATTATAATTTACAAATAAAGCCGTTATTGCAAAATCAATGTTTTTTTTTTTCATTATATTTTGCCGTGTTTAATTATAGATTAGAGTGGGTGAGACTTTTTTTCTGTAGCCCATGCGTTTTAGCAATCAATGACAAAGTGTGTGCTTACCCATTGTTTCCTTTTACCTACGATATTGTTAGGAAAGATAATCAATTAGGATTTTCAATGAGGTATCTATAAATAGGAAGCTTTTGGAGTGATTGTACCCACATAGCAATTTATGCTGTATTTTAAAATAAAATCCCTAATTTATTCCGAAACGCAAGATTATTTAATCACTTTTACTCTTTTACCTTAAAGTGTTGTCTAAATGTTACATATCAATTAGGTTGATCTAGTATCATAAAAGCATGAGAAATAATCTACGAATTACCCATTCATCATTTGGGTTATTAGCAGACTGTATAATTTCAAGTGGCAAAACTTACCTCCGACATAATTCCGCAGCCTTTTCCCACGAATGCCTAATATTGAAGAATTTATAACAATACAGTCCTCGGAGTTCCCATCCTGTAACAGAACAAGAAAACATAATTAGAATTATTGATACACGTTTTAGTAATTGAGATAGAAATTACATGACTATACAATTCACTCGTAAGGAGTATCCAGGAACATTCTTTCTGTTTCTGGGCTCCTTATTGAGCCTACCATGTGGCCAGAGTGCTATATTTCTTTTCAAATTAGCGGTTAGCAAACTTCAAAATTGTCATATTGATGGTCAATATTCGATAAGGAATTGATACTCCAAAAAGAAGAAGAAGATGCAGAAAAAAAAAATTGTAAATCCTTGACTCAAACAACAATCTTATGGAGGAGGAGTGTTGATATTAGTTGAGAGAGAGAAAACTTGACTCTCCTAATCAAGAGGAAAGTTCGAATTGATCGAAATTAAATCCTACATTATTTCGAAAATATTGTTATTTTGGCCTCACATAATATGGTTTGATATCCTGACAAGCTTTCAAATGATTGCATGCGATTTCGTTATTTTTCAACGAATCAGCTTAACACTTTTCATTTTCAGCAAGTTTGTGGTTAGAATAAAACCCACAAAACAGTTTAATAAATCCATTGAAGAGTAAACCAAAAAGTCTTATTACGTGTAGAAAAAATCACTGTTTGCATAATTTATGCACTTATATTCTAAAGTTGAGCTTTTACTGAACTAGAATTTATTTTCTACAGAAAAATTCAGAATATCTAGTACCTACCTATGTGAAATGGTGAATTGGTATGAGTCCTCTCTCTGTTTATAGACTTCAAAATTCTACTAATGCAAGGATGTCATTTCTAATGCCTTAATGGATATACAATTTAAATTCTATTCAATTTCGCAGCCATCTAAATCTAACAGTAAAACTTTATATGAATTTGTTAACGGATCCGAGCTTCCATAAATGTTTTGAAAAAGCTAGTTATGTATATAATGGCTTTGGGTTAAGTTTTGAATAATTGAAATTTGAAAATTTTCTTTCTGTTATTATTCATAAAAAGAAAGTGCAAATAAATTATCTTTGTTTCTACACGATTTATTTCAGAAATTATGCTTATTTTACTACCATTTTCGTTAATTATCCTTGCTTATTACAAAATTCAAACTCGCACCTTAAAACGTGAATATTAAATCAATCAATATAACTAGTTAGCTAAACATGGAAAGCATTTTAATATTTCATTTACAACCAAAGACAAAACTATTGTTGGGTATCGAACATGCAGCAAAAAAAATTACTAGGCCGGGGTATTGATTCTAATACTCAATAAGGTGAAAGTTAAGTGCGAAGTTAAAATCGGCAAATATTGACAACATCGCTCAGTAAGAATTATAATTGTTGATTATTTGATAGATTAGCCGGGCCGGGGATTTCTACAATAAATTACTTATACCTACGTGATCAATTATTTTACGAAGTATATGGTTGATCGAGTGTACGACACTGGTATTTTCCTATTTCTGACTATCCCCTAAACCTTTTCATGTTAGTATGAATTCAATCCTATGTACAGTTTTTGAATAATCATACAGTTTTGTATATTCGTATGGTTCTCCATTTGCCACGCTTTTTCGGTTGGTAAATAAACCATCCTGTCGAAATCAGGTGCAGTTAGAATTGGAGCAGTGACTAAACATTCTTGAGAAAGATTTCTAGCAATCTGGAGTCCAGGTAAATTTAAAGTTCTTTTTCGTTAAATTAAGAATGGGTGCTAACACCGAAGAAAATTCTGGGACTCTGGGACAAAACGCCGATACCAGGAAGCAGTTCCCACAAATCTGCGAACTTCATTGATGTTTTTCGGTGGTGGAATGTTGACTATAGCCTCAACCTTTTCTGGATCATTTTATCAACCAGATAGCCCAGGTATTTTAGTTCTGGCTTGCAGAAGTGACATTTCTTTAACGAAATAATGAGTCCGGCCTGACGCAAGCGGTCGAATACAACCTCCAAATGTCGCAAATGTTCTGAACAGGAGAATTATCACCACGTCATCAATGTAGCACATGACATTCGGTTGGAGTTCTGAACCAAGGATAGTGTCAATGATTCTTTGCCAGGTTGCAGGAGTATTAGATAAGCCAAATGGCATCCGACAGAATTGAAAGAGTCCTCTGCCAGGGACAGTAAATGCAGTGTACTCCTTGGAAGATGTACTCAAAGGGACCTACCAAAATGCTGACTTAATATCGATGGAGCTGATATATCGAGTCTCCCCTAACCGATCTAAAATGGTTGAAATATATGGAAAAGGATATGCGTCCTTTTTTATATATTTATTGACCTGTCTAAAATCGATGCAAAATCTGAAGGATCCATCCTTTTTCCGAGCCAGGCACACAGGACTAGACCAAGGACTACTAGAACGCTCAATGACTCCTAACTTCAACATTTCCTCAACTTCGTCATTTATAAATTTTTGTTTGAAGGGAGACAGGGTAATACCTTTGTTTTATGGGTCTTGTACCAGGATCTATATTGATTTCATGCTCAGTTACCTTGCAGCAACCGAGTCCAGTACTCATCTCTGCAATTTTCCACTCTACCAGGGTGTCTAAAACAGATCGTTCTGACGGAGTCAAATTGTCTCTATCTTGGATAGACAAAATATCAGTCTCACCAGCAGACTCAGAAAAATGCCAAACATCTTGTCTAGGATCTGGGATAATTTTCATGGTTTTCCAGAAGTCTATTCCAAGAATAATTTTATGTGAAAGTTCAGGAAGTACGATGACATCAATAATGTGAGTTATGTTCATTGAGGTTATGGGCGTCTGAATGTAACCTATACTTGTGCCAGTTTGGCCATTAGCCACAGTGCAAGAATTTTGTTGTTTTACCAACTTCAAACCTAAGCTCAAAAGATTGTCATATCCAGGCAACCCAACCAGAGTACGACTAGCACCTGAGTCAAGATAGAGTATTCCCTTCGGACCGATTCCCGAGTTACCAAATTTAGGACAATTCCTAACTGTGACGTTAGGGTAACAATAGCAATGGGTTTTCCTAGGGTTAGGACAATCTCTGTTTAAATGACCGGATTTCTGGCAATTCCAACAAATTAAATTGGGTGAATTACTATGGAATTACTTGGTGGTCTTGACCTTTGAGGACCATTGTTGGGTAAATCTATTCTGTCAATGCCAAAGAAATCTGCATCGTTGTTCAAGACAGAATTCGTCAAATCGGAGTTAGGTTGGTCGACCCCAACAAAAGCAAAATCGGGTTCTACAAATTGTTGACGTTTTCTGGAAGGTGAAACATAATGTTCAACTCTATATTTCTTTGTCTCCAGCTTAAGAAGACATTCACGTTCTAATTCTTCAAGTGAGTTAACAACTGGGAGTTGAGTTGTGTAGAAAGGTGATAAATTCCGGGACAAAATATCCAATTGGGTTTCAGGAGTCAATCCATCGTAACGTCTAAACAAGCCCTGCATACAAGAAAGGTAGTCTACAATGCTTTTTGAAGTATCTTGGATTCGCTCTAAAATCTCTCTAAAAAGTCTAGCACGATAATCAGGTGGTTCAGAGTGAGGACGAAGCAACTCACACAAGGTTTTCCACGTATAAAATCTGTCATGGTTTGCCCTATACCAATTCAAAGCTTTACCTGTAAACAAATCTATGGCACTATCAAAAAGTTGGTGTTCTGTTACATGGCGGGATTTACTTAGTTCGGCCACTCTCTCTAGGAAATTATGTACTGACAATTTAGAGTCACCAGCAAATTTGAGATTCCATTTCTCTAGATTTAGAAATTTAGAACTATTTGTAAAAATTGGTACTGGTGGAGTGAATCGGTTAGTGATGGAGTTATGTACCCGAGAAGATACATGAAATTCGTTAGCATCGAGCTGTCGACTAAGTTCAGGATTAGCTTTAACAACAGCCTCTAAATGATCCAAAACAGCTAAAACGTCAATGAGGAGTTCAGTCCGTTCTTCCGTTGACAAAATAGAATCAGGTATTTGTTTTACCCGCTCGCTCAAGCGAATAAACTAATCGTGACCATGTGGAAATGAATTTGTTTCGACTTGCCTCACCTGATATGGTGAGAATAACACTATTAGCCTCATCAAGAAATTGCCGAATTTGAACTTTCTCGTCACCGAAATTGAGGGAATATGGGGCAAAAGAACATGCGCCAGACTTTTCCAATTGTAAAAATATAGACCTTAATTCTTTCACAGTCTTGGTATCACTAACGGAGACACCTCGGACAATAATCTCGTGGATGAGCATTTCATTTTTAAGATACGTCATTTTGTAATCCATTTTGTCTAGCAATCAATACGTTAAGTAATCAACAAGAACGATGAAGATAATCGGCTATTATACACAGGGGCTCGAAATACCTGTTATTCCAAAAATAATTTTAAAAAAGTTTAAAGATAGAACTTGAAATTTGATTCTATGCACCCAAAACAGCCAAAAGAAAATGAATAAAAATAGTCTTTAGAAGAATCGGCGGCCCCACCACGTTAGGCGCCAATTAATTTGCCACGCGTTTTCGGTGAATAAAAAAAGTTTGCATTCCATATCTTTTCCATAGGGGCTGTTTAGAAAAGCAAATTTCTAATAGGAAAAATAATCAACCGCATCATCAGATTAGATATTCTGTAATATTGTTGACTTCATATAAATGATGCAATATTCACGCATCTATAGTATCAATGGATTTTCATGGAAAACTATTTTTTCGTGAAAAATACATTACTGTGATGCCTAACTGGCTAGCGATTATCTTAACGGTTTTCGACCAAAAAATTAAAATTAGAAAACTATTTATAGATAATTCCGGTAGTATAATGAGTAAGTTATTCACCTGATGAGTTATACAATTGGTTGGACTAATCGTTTTGCATTTTCACGTTGGCGAGGAGCATGTCCAAGGAATGTAGAAAAATGTCAAGGTCTCATCATTTTATGGAGCCTATAACTTAATAAATTTAAAAAAAAAACTTGTTACGTAAAGGAAATTCTTTTGTAATGAAATTACCGTTCGTCTTTCATTTATATAGGCAATATAAAGCTTGAAATCTAGTAAAACAATATTGGCCTAAAAAACAACAACTTGTCCTTATTCAATTGACAATTTACCTAACACCGAATCGCGATTTAAATAATCTGTAACCATTGGCTTGTAGGCCATAGTGCAAGAGCTCCGTATAGATTTCTTTGACCCACAGAAACACTTTGTATAAAATTATAGTAAAAGAAGCCGACCAGGTTCCATCGTGGTTTGTTGCAGAACCAGTCTGCCTTCTCTTCAGTAATTACCGCGGCTCTGCGTCAGTATAGAAAGTATTTAAAAAAAAAAGAAAACACGCATCACTTTGTGTTTGGCGTGGAAAATTGATGATTTGACTAAAGGAAAAACCGTCAAAAGAAACTTTTACATACATATATGCATATGTAATTTGATATGATGAATGAACTAAAGTATTAACCACTTAACGTATAAAACCAAATCATATGTAAATAATTAACCAAGAGATTTTACATAATATCGTATGGAATAACACTTAAAGCCCAACCTATTAGATCTTTGAGTTATTATTGGCATATGATACTACAGAGGCTTTCGTAATCATTGGGAAATAGACATTAATAACTAGTAAAAGGTATTTAATAAAACAAGCAACAGGTTTAATTTTTTCTTCTCGAGTATTTTAATTGAACTTTTAAGAAAAATAACTACACAGCAAAAATATTTTTTGCTTGGGAGGATACATTGATTGAATAATTTGCTTTCTAAGTATATGGAGCATATTGGAATTTCCAAGTATCTATTTTAGTGACGTCAGGGATAGACACTTAACTAAATTATCATCAACATTATAACATTAGTTTGACCCATTTTGACCATCAAATTACAATATTTGAAAAAAACCCTATCAAAAATCTAAGGTCAACCAAAATTGCTGGTTACAGCACGAAAACATTTCATATTTTTCTAGCTAACATAAAATACCGATTCCAGCGAAAGATATAACTTCTTAAATTATAAGACTTGTCTTGCAGGATAGAGTGATTCAGACACTCCTTCAAATTCATTGCAACCTTTATTATATCTTACAACACAAGCAAAGATACACAAGGAAGTCTTGGTTTGATGGTTGTGTTTAAGACACTAAAAACAAGAATTATTTAGCATTATTATATGAAAATGCTTTAATAACATTTCAATAAATATTTAATTATTACTATAGGCAACTATGGAAATTCTTTGTTTGAAAGCACCTGCGGAGTGTAGTAAAATATTAAAACCTACATAGGTACTAGTGTTTTTCACTAGTATAAAAAAGAGAAAGCATCAAACATCAATAATTGTATTTTTAAATTGATGCTGGTTTTATCTTTGAAATGAAGTTATTAGAATTAGAGTACATAGAAAACCCATATTGTATTTTGTTTAAACCAATGAAAATTCTGTTAACCAGATAGTTATTTTTGATTATCCTCCGAACAGACCTTCTGTACGCTAAATCTTATAGATTCCCTCAGGCTAGTTTACCGTGCATACGCAAAGAACAACATTCCTGCAAGATATCTCAAGAAGTGTTACGCAAGGAAACGATTGCGGCGTTTTGCTGGCCGGGATTGAAGAAGAAAAATTATTGATGCTAATGATCTCATATGTATGATGAATACAACGTGCAATTTATAATAATTACCCAAGCCCAAGCTGGGAGGAATAATTATGATACAAAAAATAATAATAATCGCACTTACCGTTCGGACATGTGAATAAATTAGTTGAACTAGTACTATCTATCCTATATATGGCCATGATGGCGACCAATATGGCCGCCTCTATCCTTATCAACATTAGGCCTGAAAAAAAAATGAAAAAATTGTTAATAAATAAATTAAACGAATTGTATGGGTAGTATTTTACTTCCTTGCACAAAATAGTTGACAATAATTCATTCGGACTTACGTAAAGTCAACCTTGAAAGACTAGTGTTGCTGTATCAATTATTGTAATAAACACCTCATTACAATAAATTATTTTATAAACAACCCTGATTTATGTAAGAGACAGAAAAATTCGCCTTCTTATTGCGAATTCCGAACTGGTTTCAGGAAATTTGTTATTGGAATAAATATTTTTATCTTTGTACAATGGCAATAGTTGTGGATAGACCATTTACTTTAGACTTACTTCAATCAGAAATTTGATTCTTCGTGAATCCCTCGATTAATCAGTGATGGGCTCCTCAGCTCATCTACTTCTCAACTTTCTCAGACAAGCAATAATTTCCGACATATTGCAGTTTTACTAGCGTTGCATTTGGTTATGATTCAAGCTCAACCGTTTGAACAGGCAATTCCACTTAAAATGGAGTAACATTCTGGACAGCTGTTGATAACTGTTGACCTCGAACATTTTCAACAAATCAACATCTAATGCAATGTGTTTATTGGTTGATTCTTTTTCTCATCATCTTCTTAGATAGAAATCTAAATGTTTCTAGAAGAAGGCTTGTCTATTAAGTTGCCCTGTAGTATCTGATCTCTTGCAGAAAACCTCAGAAGAGGTTGAATTTTTTGTTGATGGAAGGTATTCATATTATTTGTGGAGGAATATAGATGAAAACATCAGCTAGTTCTTTGTCAATTACCTTGCACAAATATGCGAACTTTACAAGCTTCATTAATAAATAATAATATTTCCGATCCGGATATAAGATTTACCTACTAAGAAGAAAATTACTTAAAAGCATCTGCATTATAGTTTTGTGTTAAGTAGTGCAAAGATGTAAAGTAGTGCGGTGTATAGGAGATGCACACACATACCATACTGTGTACCATTATAATAATCATAATGGTGAGCCTATTAAAGCATTTTTTCATTAATTAATACGTTTACAGTTACAATGTATTTAATAGCTATCAGACTTAAACCATCCCATGAGGATACTTCGATGGCAAATAGAGCGGAAATTTTAGTTTGATCTTTACCTGATGATGCTGATGGTTAAATTAAACAAACTGTTCTTGGTTTGAAGAAATAAAATCCTTTTTGGTAGGTTATAAATATTTATCAAAGGTAGCTTAGTAATTGCAGCTTTCAAGTTATTTTAAATATCCGATATACATTATTCAACGCAATGAAGAAAAAGTGTAAATACTTCTCTGACCAATCAACAAAAATGTATGTCCATTAGAAAGTCAAGGTTGAACCTGCATTGAAACCGTTTGTATACCAAACGGGGAAGTGTTTTATATGATTTTTAGCTTGACTATACATAATTAGTATGTAGACGATAATTAGGATAAATGTTAATGGTGAATTTTCGTTTATTTTGATTTTTGGTTTGTGGGTCACTAAATTTGAATGAAATTTGGTTAGAGATTCAATGGACATGTGAATGTGAATAACGGATTTTTCCTAGTGATGATACATTTTATTGCACTAAGTAGCTTAAGCCAGGTGTTCATTCACAAGGAATAATGTATAATTAGATAGAATTCTTATGCAAGATTTAACCTACTTACTCCTTTAGCTCAGCCTCTGCAATATTGCAATTCGAGGTAACTTAATCACAATATGTGAACGCATAGGTTTCATATATAAACTGCTACATAAGAATGTTTTTTTAATTAGGATTTTGAAAATTCAAAGTTCTACGAAAGAAAGTGTAGAACTGCCATTCTAATACTATTGAAAAATATTTTTATGAAAATTTACAGTTTTTCTGTAAATTTACACTTTTTCTGTATGTTTACATTTTTTCTGTAAATTTAGTTAATAGTTAGGGTTAGTTTGGGTTAGCTTGCAATTTTAATCAGACATTTCCAAACTTACCAATAATAACACGGTTAGTTTGGGTTACAATGTAATTTTAATCAGACATCACCAAAAATACCGATAATAATCCGGTTAGTTTGGATTAGTATGTAATTTTATTCAGGTATTTACAAAGTCACCAATAATATAACCTGGTTAGTTTGAAATTTCAATCATTCATACAAACTTATCGATAATATTCCGGTTAGTTTAAGTTAGTTTGTAATTTTATTTTAAACCATTTATGTAATTTTCACATTTCTTACTGGTTTGAAGGTTCGAAAATGTTATTTTACTTGTGTTTACTTTACAGCAGGCCGAAAGCAGTGGCGCACCCAGGGGGAGGGGGGCTATCGGGCCGGGTCCCCCCCCCAGGCCGCCCCTCCCAAATTGTGTTTTTAGGTTTAAAAAATGTAGCAACATCAAGGCGTGGCATTCCGACATCTCACGACATGATTTTTTAGATTTTTAGTAACAAGCCACAACCTATTGAGCCCCCCCGCCAGACATATTTTCTGGGTGCGCCACTGGCCGAAAGTGACAGTTCTCCTGTCACTTATTTCGGCCTGCTCATTGAGGTGCCTGCTAAACTGTTCTTTCACATCTAAACACAAATCCAGGTGCAATGTTTGTATTTAGAAGTAGATGTCACATGTTGTTCATATTGCTGAAATTTCATAAGATGTCAATGTCGGTATCAGAGTGTCAGCCGAAATTGCATTTTTGTCATACTTTTACTTTATTTATTTTTTTCAATAATTAATGGTTAAAAATAAAATAGTATACATATTTCGGTGGAAAGTTTTCACATATATTGTCTCTCAACAATAATGAAACACTTTCCACCTCGGTCGGCATGTAATATACTATTAATAAGGTATATCCAGACTTACCAATAATAACCCGGTTAGTTTGGGTTACTTGCAATTTTAGTTAAACATTTCCAAACTTACCGATGATAATTCCGCGGTTAGTTTGGGTTATTTTGCAATTTAAGTCTGACATTACCAACAACAATAACGATAACCTGGTTAGTTTGGATAAGTTTGCAATTTTTATCAGTCCTCTATGTATGTTCAATTTTCGAAAATACAAATTTCGATTTTTTTTCCGAATGCTGTTATTTCGAAAATAAACCTTTTCGAAAACGTTTATTTCGAATAACTTTTGTTTAAAATCCAGTATATTTGAAAATATATTTTTCGAAAACGCTTATTTCAAAAATTAATATTTCGAAAATCAATAATTTGGAAAACCTTATGGTGATGTTTGATTAAAATCGCAAACTAACCCAAACTAACCGGGTAATTATCGTTAAAAGTTTATTAATGTTAAAACTGCAACCTCACCGAGTTATTATCGGTAAGTTTGGTGATGTCTAATTAAAATTGAAAAGTAATCCAAACTAACCGGGTTATTATTGGTAAGTTTGGAAATGTCTGATTAAAATGTCTGATTAAAATTTCAAGCTAACCTAAACTAACCCTATCCCAATATTTTGCAAAGCAAGACCAGTAACATATTCACTTAGGTCTACTGTATGTGAGGAATTGAATAAATTGGAGAAATTGAACATTTTCGAAAAAGTAAGTCATTCCAAATGGGCATCTCCAATAGTAGTAATTGAAAAGGGTACAGGGGAGCACAAGAAGGTAAGAATCTGTGGGGATTACAAAGTTTCTATAAACCCTGTATCTCGAACAGAACATTATCATTTGCCAAATCCGTGATATTTTAGCTTCAGTGAGGAAAGGTAAGGTTTTTACCTTAATTGATTTGCAAAATGCTCATCAACAGCTAGAACTATCAGAAAAAGCGCAAGAGCTGGTTACTATTAATTTAAAATGATGCCTTTTGGTATAATTAGTGCTCCAGCTATTTTTCAAGTGACAATGGACAGGGTGTTATTTGGATTAAATAATGTATGTTGTTATATTGATGACATACTAATCTGGGATGAAGAATTAGATTTATGTAAAAAGAAGGTAGAAATTGTTCTAAAAAAATTAAGTGATGCAGGGTTGAAAATGTGCTTTGAAAAATGTTCATTTTTCAAATCAAGTGTGAATTATTTGGGGGATACACTATTGACAGTGAAGGTATAAGACCTACTGAGAAAGGCATTTTAGCTATAAGAATGGCCCCAAAACCGCATAATGTAACTACATTAAGGGCATTTCTTGGGTTGATAAATTTTTATGGTAGATTTATACCAAATATAAATCTTCTCAGACCATTGCACGAGTTGCTACAAAAGAATCAAAATTGGATTTGGACAAAGGAATGTAATGAGTGTTTTATGAAATGTAAATCCTTATTAATTGAGGGTTCTAATATTTTAACATATTATGACCCAAGTAAACCGATAATTCTCACATGTGACGCATCTCAATATGGGCTGGGTGCTGTATTAGCTCATGACATTGACAGAGTTCAAAAACCAATTTGTTTTGCTTCACGCACTTTAAATAAAGCAGAAAAGGGATATTCCCAGTTGGAAAAAGAAACCTTAAGTATAATTTTTGGGATTAAGCATTTTCACTTGTATCTTTATGGCAGAAAATTTTCAATCAACTCTGACCATAGGCCTCTAGAAACTATTCTTAATCCTAGAAAAGGAATACCAACTCTAGCTGCTTCTTGAATTCAAAGATGGGCACTACTTTTATCATCTTATACATATGACATTAAAATTATGAAGGATTAGATATTGCCCATGCAGATATTAGGGCTACCTTTAGAAATTTCAGAAGAAGAAAGTGCGGCAGACATAAATTATTTTTCATGTGTAGAGGAAAAGCTCTTGTGTGCTATTGATATTGCTAAACATACACATGAGGATGTAATTTTGTCTCAAATTAAAGAATTTATCTCGAATGGTTGGCCAAATTATAATAACAATAAGCTTTTCAGTCCCTTCTGGGTTAGAAGGTTTGAATTGTCCATTGATAAAGATTGCCTTTTATGGGGTAGACGAGTAATAATACCTAAATCTCTTCAAACAAAAATTTTAAACTTATTACATGAGCAGCATCCAGGT